GTATCTGCTGCAAATTAGGACTCCTTCCCAAACAACAGATGACATGATGGGAAAAAGGGAGCAGACAGCATCCTTGCACATCTTTGTCTCTTTAGAAGATCAAATAAAGAGCAGCTGTAATTCTATTTGTCACATCTGTGTAACAAAATACAGTGATCTGTATCATCAGATGAAACTGAATGAGTTCTGTTCAAATGTAAATGGGGATTTTCTTTCTGACCTGATGGAAAGGAGGCTGAACTCAATATTTCTACTTCTCAAGCAAAAATATGCTTTTCAAATCTCTGATCACATTTTGTGTAAATTTTCTCAATTTAGAACCCTCCATTTCATTATTAATTTACACAGAATTCCAAAATAAAATAAAATCACAAAAATATAATGTAGATGATGCATTATTTTTTCCAACCTATCCAAAATATTTAGAAGTCTGGACAGGACTGAGATTTGAAAGGGTTGGTGGGTTACAGAAAATCTGGAAAATGTATGCTCAATATTCTTATTAACATTTATCATGTATCACTATGTGACATTTTTCTTTCATACTATCACCATGTCTCTTTCCCCACATTTCCCCAGCTTCCATCCTTAACAGGCTTCCCTCTTTTAGGGATGTGAAGAGACCTGTTTCAGGCTGTGCTGTTTCCTGGGGCCTTCAGGAACAGCAGATTTCCCAGAAAAGAGGAACAACAGATAGACTCAGGCCCCTGAGTGCTTGTCCTTTTTATTTCCCCCCCCCCCCCCTCAGGAGGTACGGATGTCAGCACTTCTAAATTAGTGATGGAAAAGTACTGAGGGCCAGGAAATGTGTTTTGTTCTTAAAATACAGAGTTCACACAATCTCTGGGAACCAGTGATGAATGATCAAGTTATTTTATCATATCTGGAAAAGTGGCAGCAAATCTTGTCTTGTTTTTTTCCTTTAGCCTCTCAATACATGTACATACCATAAATCCCATTTATAACACTATGAGCCAGAAGAAAAAAACCCGACTGAATAATTATTGCACTTAATGTGCAATATGTTAAAAAATAATGAAGACCATTATAAATAATAAAAATTATTCTAGAAGTTTAAGTACTTTGGCTGTCTGTAATTTTGTTTTCCTAATCAATAGATTACAGCATAGACTAGATACTCTTCTAGGGCTATGTAAGACAAAAAAACAAAAAAAGGAGATCTTAAATTTGGTAATCTGTCAATAAGAACGGTCACATTGCGTCATACAAATGGTTAATCTAACCCAGAATCCTGTCTTCTGATAGTGCTTCAGAAGGAATGGATACAACAGGGCAATTATCGAGTGATCCATCCCCTGTCGTCAAATCCCAGCTTCTGAGAGTCAGGTATTTAGGGACACCTGCAGCATGCAACCGCTTGCTTGGTCCATGATCATTTTGCCTAATAGCTATTGGTGGACCTATCCTCCAAAAACTTATCTAACTTTTTTCTGAGTTATATTCAGGCATTCACAACATCGTTTGGCAACAAGTTCCACAGGTTGACTGTGTGTTGTGTGAAGAAGTACTTTCTTTTGTTTGTTTTAAACCTGCTGCCTATTAATTTCATCAAGTGACCCCTAGTTCTTGTGTTATGTGAAGGGGTAAATAACACTTCCCTATTCACTTTCTCCATACCATTCATGATTTTATAGGTCCTACCATATTCCCCTTAGCTGTCTCTTTCTTAAACTGAACAGTCCCAGTCTTGCTTTGAGGCTATATTTAATGTACATAGGGTTGAAACTCATCTTCATTTTTAAATTTTAATGTTTGTTATCTCTGTTATGAGCAACCCAATATATTTAAGCTCCTCCAGAAAGTATCAACACTACTGCACAGAAAAAAAGACCGTAATAGACTGATTGAGTGCTTATCCCTTCTTACCTTCCTCATACAGTTCTGGAGTAAATTATTCCACAATTCATTGATCTAGTGCAATGTAGGTCTCTAATCTTTACTTTTTTCCACATGCTGAGACAAGAACTGTGGTCACTCATCCAGAAGGTGTAAGAAAAGTCAAGGCAAACATAAAAAAGTATTAAGAGAAAATGTCTTTCAGAACACCAACCAAAAAAAAAAGAAAAAAAATATTAACATGACTAGAAATAAGCCAGTGTGGAAACTACACAAAGAAATACATTTTGCAACTCCAGACTTGCAATAAGAAGAACAGATATAGCTTTATTGATTAAAAGGCGTAGGCAATAGTTTGGTTACACTTGTGATTCGTTCTTAAAAATGTTTAAGAGACCAAAAACCAAGCTTAGCCACAGTAAAATATGAAAACGAGACAGGCATATCTTCCTTACAGGAAACAATTCTTATCTTACACAGAAGTTGCATTTATAGTAATATAATAGTATAGTTGTATTTATAGCTAGTAGTATTTATAGCATGATTTTACAAGTTACAAAACTTTTTAGGAGTCACTAAAATCCAACCCACCAGTTTGTAACATTTCCTTAACTTGTTGTTTTGTTCTGTACTTTTCTAATATCTGTTTTGGATACTACAGTCCAAACCAGTTAGGCCCAGAGGTACATCCCAACCTGTGCTAAGAAACATCAATCATGTATCTTGGCTTTGACAGGCTTCCTATTTTCTAATGCCAAAGCTGATTTGAGCTTTACAAAGCATTGTGGGATACTTGACATGGGTGAACAGAATTGTAGGGAGAGTATAATACATTTAGTTAACATAACTTTCCAATTTTTTATATTTATATATAATAGTAATACTGTGCACATAATACCCATTAATGTGGCATTTACTATGCCCAACATTCATGCATTGGCTAGCAGCTTAAAAGTCTAAAGAGTGCTGGGTAATAATTTTATAAACCCTCAAATGTTTACCTTCTGCTGATTTTCTATTATTGTATTTAGCAATAAACCGCAAGACAAGACATTTCTATTGGTCATAGTTATAATTTGTTGTGAGCTTTCTTTGAAAGGAGATTAATCATCTGAATTATAATATCCTTACACGTCAAATGGAATCACTGAAAATGTGCAAAACAATCTTAGAGTGCTTGAGACTTTCAAGTGAGAACGAACACTTGTATTCAACAAAAGATTTAGCTGCATATGCATATAGTAACCTTAAATACAATAGCTTTACTTAGAGTTGTTTTATGATTATGCTAAAGAGTGGACCAAAACCTTTGCTGGTGTAAATTTGTCAAGTTTCATTGGTTTCAATAGAGCTTTGCTAATTTACAGCTTTTTAAAGGATCTGACCACATTTGTAAAGATCTGAAAGATCCATTTCAAGATTCCATACACAGGAATGAGACTTCACATTTACTAGAAAGGTACAATTCGGAACTTGCCCTCTCATTAACTTTGTGCATAATATCAGCTTCATCTGAACCAATTTTTTTTCCATAAGCTTGAAAGGAAAGAAATTTTGTCTCTCCACATAGATGGGTGAAGTCGGGAATTTTAAATGCAGCAGCAAGGTGGTGACCTCCCTTCTGGAGGGAATGGCAACTTAAAACTATGTCAAGCTGTAGGAGCTGACTGTACTGCCATGCTGGAAATCCTACCCACTCTATTTATACTGGTAACTTAACCCAATGGATTTCACCGATAAGGATAAGTTATTGTGTGTTTGCAATGTGGTATACATGCTTGCTTTTCACATATATAGTTCTTCCATTTGTTATAACAACTTTTATAAAGGTAAAATGTTAAATTGTTGAGATTTTGTATGGTGGCAGGGAAATGAGAATCAGGCCCTAAATATGCACTTATGGAGAGAATTCAGCTCAACGGAAGACAATGTTCTTTATATACTGTTGTTCTAAACATAAATATGATTTCCGAACTATGCTTACCAGGAAATTGCTTTCAAACATCTTTAAAATAATATTTGTTTACCTTGGAAGACATTTAACAGATGAAAGAGTCTTATAAATTGTGTGAAGATGATGTATAACAGATTCTGCTTTACTGGTGGAACCAACCATTTGGAAGATGTCATCTGAGCTTGCACACAATTAAAATTAAGTATTTTCATATTTAATACTCGTATGATCAAAGTGAATATTTGGTCTCAGACTCCGGCTATTAATAACATCCACTATTTACTAACATGAAAAAAATGGCTATATCCAAATAACTAAAGATCCTGGACATACGGTGAGGCAAAAAGTTGAAGACCACGTGCCTATTCGCCCTTAAAAGTGGGATATTACCGAAGTCTTCAACTTATTATTATTGTGTTATTGCCTTTTCAAAAGAACTTATTTGTCATCCCAAATAATACCACTACAAATTAAAATAAAAGTTGTGTGTAAATAATAGGTCTTGTATACAGCAAAGAAAACATTTCTGTAATTTTCTGTTCTATAAAGCAATTCTGTTACAGTGAATATTGGAGAGTGGGGGGATTATGTACTATACATTTCAAACATATAAAAGATCTATGAACAGTCACATATCTGGGAGATTTAATTATGATTTTTTTGTCACTGGTTATTACTGCAATGCTTGACCTTTTTTTTTTTTTATTTTTTTTTTTTGCCAGTGACAAGATTTGTTTTCATAAAGTTTGCTAATCGGGTGTTTTGGGTTTTTTTAACAGGAAAATGACATTTCTAACCATGCTACAAGATTGCACAAGCGTTAAGCTATTTTCAATGACCTGTATTATTAAAAAAATGTATACAGTATATAAAGGTAACACAGTAGTTGCTTGACCCTTAGAGTTATACTGCAAAGTCAGGAAACCTACTTGGTCACGCATTTTATCTAGCTGATTAATAAAATGATTATAATCAGAGTAAATAAGTTACTTTGATACAATTATCAATACAATCCAATATACAAACGTTGACAAAAGATTAAAATTACAAAGAAGAGGCTATAAAAATGAAGTTATAGATAGAAAAAAAAGCCCGTCAAGGATGGAGTCAATCACTATATAAAATTTTGGGATATTGGAAGTGATAATTAAGTTAGTGATTTTAAAGTATATTTTCACCTTTATCTTACCTGCTAGCTGTTTTTACTGAAATATTTTTCTTGTGTCCTCTCTCAGATCGGTTATCCCGCAGGAGCTGAAGCTACACAAAAAATATTCACAATCGTGTTGGAAACAAAGCCAATTTTTATTTTTTAAAAATGTTATCCTAGCTTTGTCATCTTTTATGTTTTTATTTTTTAACAGTAAATTAGGTATTATATATTGGATTTTAACAGTGTCACCTATGGAAAGACCATTAAAAATGTTAAAAGTTGGGGACTTAGTGCATTCTTGATAAATTCATGGTCAGTCATTACAGCATTTTAATACAATTTTGTGAAGAAACATGTAGAGTTAAGGTTATAATTACATATCCATTAATTTTAAACCCAACATTATTAGAACTTTGTAGTTATAGAAAAAACATTTGAAAGCAAAGAATTTCAGAGTTCCACAACTATTACCCTAACTCTGGACTGTGAAACATTTGAAAGCAATTTGATTTTGATTTGATTTTTAAGAATCATTAATCAATAACTTTCACCTTCAAAACTCTCTTTATTATGAAAAGGGATAGAAAAGCTCCCTTTAAAAAACTTTTCACTGGTATCTAAACAGTTAAGCAATGTTTATAAACTCTGCTGAGACCCAAAAAGTTGAAATTTTCAGAGCAACAACAAAAGCTAAATACCCAATCTTCCTAACACTTTTAGCTATTAGCTAGCACTGGTGACTAAAATAATGTAGGTTTTAGACCACCCTATTTTTGAAATTTCTCCCAAATAAATACAATGTGAAGACTTTTCCAAAATAAACTACTTCATTATTCAAAATCTCCAGCTGATATGATTCTCCTCAATGTGAGGGTGATGTGGCAATGACACATTTAGAAATAGCTGCAAAATAATTACACAGAAGAAGTGCAAACTAATAGCAAAATAAACTAAAATCATATTTTGAAGGGAACCAAGCCTTCAACAAAGTGCTGAGCCGAACTGAACTGAAGATTTAGCTACACAAATGGCCATAGAGACTAAGGCAGCACTTCACTGAAGGCAGTCAGAAAAAAATTAGGGGGACACACTTGGGGACTTCACGGTACCACTGCAGAGATGGGCAAGTGCTTCAAATAACCAGTTTTTGTTGTTGAATAGTTTACCCACTACATACGTCTATCTTTACTAGCTAATTACATAAGCTCTAATTTAATAGTGTTTACTTCAAAAAATAAACAAACAAACAGAATATTATTATACCATAACAGGTAAAATCTATAGTTATACAACCTGGCCTTCCATAGGAAAATTTCTTTAAGATGCTGCGAGGGTCAATTTTTAATAGTGTTAAACTCATTTTTCTCCCTTCTTTTACAGGTTCTGAAGTGTAGACCCATCACAGATCACTAGTTTCTGTTTCATGTGATGACGTTACATTCACTATATGATTCAGCTACAGTCTGAAAACTTATTAATTTACTAGACCCCCAATGCCATCGCCAAAAGTACAAAAGCTTTCATAATAATTTTATAACCCATAAGGTGAAATTATTTTAAAAATTATAAAATCAAGTATTTTTTAAATAAAATATTTATTTATTTACCATTACAGGCGTTATTCACATTGCCGGTTTCATGCTGGATGAGATATCATCAGCATAACGGATGCTGGGACACCACTTAGCATGGAAACCTGCATGGCTAGTCTGCATTTCAGAACCTTCAAAAGTAGTACTAAAGGTACAAGTTAAGTTAATTATCAAGTAATTTGAGACATTAAGGATAACAAATGAATTCTTTAAGTTTAAACTGCAACTTATTACACGTTACTTGTTACAATCCGTAAATCTGACAACATAAAGCCAGCTGTTAAAATGCTAGTTGTTTCTTCCACAAGAAATAAAAGTTTCAAAATGATGTGAGGCAAATATCATATAAAGTTGTCTGTGTAGCTGTTAAATGTCAGCTAGCATATCATAATATGTATTATAATACTTTCACAATTTACAGCTAAAACTGAAATTCATTTTTTTTTCACCCTGTCAGGCTTGAGGAAGTATGTTTAGTTGAGAGACTGAGTCTGTTTTTGAGTTTGAAAGAAGGGGAAGAAAAGCAGATATGCTGATTTAACTCTGAGCTATCAAAGCTAGTGGAGTTCAGAATCGCCCTAAAAACAGGATGAATGTTCTTGTATCTTACTGCGTTACTTATTGCTTTCTATGATGTTTAAAATCTATTTGCTAGAACTTAGTTGGTGTAAATCAGCACAGATCCACGGAAATCAATTGAGCTACATCAATTTGCTGCAGCTAAAGGGCTGGTCCACACTAACCCCCCAGTTGGAACTAAGATACGCAACTTCAGCTACGTGAATAACGTACCTGAAGTCGAAGTATCTTAGTTCGAACTACAAGGTCCACACACGGCAGGCAGGCTCCCCCGTCGACTCCACATACTCCTCTCATGGAGCAGGAGTACCGGTGTCGATGGTGAGCACTTCCGGGATCGATTTATCGCGACTAGACAAGACGCGATAAATCAATCCCAGAAGATCGATTGCTTACCGCTGAACCCGGAGGTAAGTATAGACGTACCCTAAGATATGACCCAATGAATTACTCTAGAGGCTTGATGTACTACTGATGTATTCAGTTACTTTTCCTGAGTGTTTGAAAAGAACTAATTTGTTCAAGATACAAAAGGGAAAGGCTTATTTGCACAAAGTTCTTGTCCTGACAATAACTTATTGTTTTGCCATGCATATAACTAAGCATTTTTCAAAGTCTGAAAGGAAGGTCACTAGTTAAGCAACACTCCACTATTCAAATGTAAGTGTTTTCTTGTTAAATTCGCTGATCTTAATTATGAGGTAACCAACATACAACTTGTGAGATTCTGTGCGGTTTCCAAGGGAACAGGAGGGCTATGATTGCTTTAAGCTATCTCTGTGCCCTCCTGAGCTGGGGCTACTCCCCTGATAAAATTTGGACAGCCCTGCACTCCTGTCTAAATTACAGCAGACACTCTGGGCTACTCAGCTGGTCATAACACTGTCTGGAATCCCTGCAGTCATTGCAGCCCTGCCTCCACACATCCCCAGCATGTCCCCTACATTGAAGCTCATGAGCTTATGTCTACCTTCTGCAGGTTATGCACCAGGAGAATCCTCACCTGGCAGGATTTAACACCCCCTTTATACCCGTCTGACCCTTTTACCTAGAGTAACAGAGAAGAGTGGGGTGTGGATTTCATCCTACAAGTCTGTTCTTACACAGTTTTGAATTTCTTAAATAGTGTGGAAAATGTCAGGTGTTCCCCATTTTATAGAAGCATTAACACGACAGTTTCAGAGAAACACAGGCACTATTGTTAATAACAAACTGGTTATCAGGATAATATATTCTGAAATCTTAAACTGGTAATAAAACTGACTTGTGATGCTTATCTAGTATCATTTGGCACGCCAGCTTATTAACCAAAAGACCTTTTGAAATACTTAGCTGCTAAGTTTTTTAAGTAGCTTGCAAGGAAACATGGAATTAAGGCCGCTTTGCTTCTTATGTATTAAAATACTGACCCAATAGTTCTGGAGTAGAGATAGTTAAATTCCTTCAAATATATGAAGTAAACTGTTCTTGATCAAAGTGGTTCTTACCTGGCTATGTTCCTTCCTAGCCCCAGGGCTAAACCAGTGGCTGTGGGAGAAAAGGAAAAGAAGAGTTTAGCAATATAACTACATAAAGCACGTGCTGTCATATGACCAGTTTGTGCGTGCTTTTGGGTATTTTATTGTCCACCAGGAAAATATAGCCTTCGGCTATGCTTTATTTTAATGGGATATTTTATGGAACTCTCAAAGTCTGTTACAGTTTTGATAGGAATATAAGAATGCACTCGCTCTGCAAATTTCCGCTTCTTAGGCAAACTGAGTAGCCATTAGCTTTACATTTAATTATGTTCTATTAAATTAATTTAATTCGTAAATGCTAACATTTTACATGTCTTAATCTGCATATTGAAATATATGCTATTAATAACAATTTAATGCTATCCTTATTACTGAAGTGTAAACTTTTAATTATTAGAGTTTAACAGATCTATAAGCACTGAGGGCTAACTGGTATATGTTAATGTATTAGCATTTTACCAATTGAGGCTTGGATTTGAATTCTATTTTAAAGTTGTAAATTGACATAAATTTGGTGGTCTCATGTCTCAAAACTGTCACGTAACTTGGCATTACTGACAATCTTTTACTTTACAGAGGCAAAACACTAGCATAGTAGGAGGGCTGCAGGTCATGAATGAAATATAGGATGAGCTAGCACAGTGACTTCCCACACTGTATCCACTGGGGGTTTTAAACTGGCTTTTATGTTCATCAAGATCTGAAACAGGCTGCAGGCCTCCAAATGTGACTACAGTGGCATTACACTGGGATTTAACAGCTGCTGTTGGGGGGCAAATCTCAGATCTAGGAAAAAGAAAAGAAAAGAAGAAGAGCACCTGAGAAGAAGAACTACACCCCCTCTTTCCCTGCCTCAATATATTGCCCCTTGATCTTGGGGGAAGGGCAACTGTGATAAATGAAGCGGGGTGCAGGGTGGGGGCAGGAAGCTCCCTTGCCAGCCAGCTAGCTATGAAGTCTCTCTTGGTGGCTGCTTGCTTTACCTGTAAAGGGTTAAAAAGTCCCCCAGGTAAAGAAAACGGAGTGGGCACCTGACCAAAAGAGCCAATGGGAAGGCTAGAACTTTTTAAAATTGTGAAAAAAGCTTTCCCTTTGTGTTCTGTGTTGTTCTCTGGAGAGAGGGGAACAGAGCAAAGTCAGGGCTATGACTATGCTGTAAAAAGTTTTTGCCAGGTATGGAAATCACCAGATTATACTTAGAACTACCCAAATATGTCAGTAGATTAGGAAATGTCTAGAAAGATGCAATTAGATTTATTTCTTTTATTTTCTGTGGACTCCTCTGTGCTAACCCCAGGAGCTTGCTTGTTCGTTTGTTTGTAACCTTTAAGCTGAACCCCCAAGAAAGCTATTTTGGGTGCTTAATTTTTGGAATTGCTCTTTTAAAATCTAGCAAAAACCTAAGTTCCAGATGTATTTTCTTTTTCTTTTTAATAAAATTTACCTTTTTTAAGAACAGGATTAGATTTTTGGTGTCCTAAGAGGTTTGTGCACATGTTAAATTAGCAACAGCTAATTTCCTTTGTTTTCTTTCTCAGCTCTTCCCCGGAGGGAGGGATGGGGGTGAAAGGACTTGAGGGTACCCCACAGGAAGGAATTCCCAAGTGCGCCTTCCTGGGATCTGAAAAAGGGGTTTGCATTTGGGTGGTGGCAGTGTTTACCAAGCCAAGGTCAGAGAAAAGCTGTAACCTTGGGAGTTTAATACAAGCCTGGAGTGGCAAGTATTAATTTTTAAAATCCTTGCGGGCCCTCACCTTCTGCACTCGAAGTGCCAGAGTGGGGAATCAGACTTGACAGAAACATAGTTCAATGCATTAAAATAATACATAGAAACACCACCACACTCTTTGTAAATGTGGTTGTACTGTTCTAGCTGCGAATGGCAATATTGTATAACCAAAAAGAGTGTGTTTTCAAAATGAACCCTTGAAGTACTCAATGGAAAAGTTCCTCAGGCCATGTTTACTTAAAAACTCCTATTTTTGAACATCTACATCACCATGCTCAGATTTCTCACATTGCTGCAGTTACTAAGTAATGACAGGCCATGGATTCTCCCGCCAGAAGCTACACAGGACACAAGAAGATTCTTGAAGACTCAAGTCAGTCTATCAGTGGAAGCAGCAGGGTAGGAATCTGTAGAAGGTATTCAGTAATGTTACCAGATGGTGTTGAATCAAACATACTGCTAAAATGTAAACTGTGTCTTCACAGAATTAAATGGATCACTAACTGAAAAACAATACTAGTTATTTCTAACCCTGTTTATGGGCCGCTAAACAGTGAATAATTTAATGTCTTGTCCACTCTGATTTCGAAAAGGGTTAATTTAAATATAGTTTAACAGTATAACAGTTTTAAATTGAACTCTCTCCAAACCCAGGTAGAGCAACCTCAGAACCCCTCTAAATACAGTTCGGTTAATGGATTTGCAGGAAAAGTAGTGTCCCTGGAAATTTTTGTATTGTCTTCAAATGCCCTGTTGGTTTGACACTCTGAAAGTACTGAATATGTTGCATACTGTGGGATTGCTTGGGAAGACTGAGTGTTCTGTAGTAAACCCTGAAAGCCTGTACCATAGCATCTAGCACAAAGGGCCCTGATCATAACTGGCTCATAGACTCATAGATTTTAAGGTCAGAAGGGACCATTGTGATCATCTAGTCTGACCTCCTGCCCATTGCAGGCCACAGAACTTTACCCACCCTGTAATAGACCTGTAACCTCTGGCTGAGTTATTGAAGTCCTCAAATCATGGTTTAAAGACTTCAAGTTACAGAGAATCCACCATTTACGTTAGTTTAAACCTGCAAGTGACCCATGCCTCATGCTGCAGAGGAAGATGAAAAAACCTCCAGGTGTCTGCCAATCTGACCGGGGGGAAAAATTTCCTTCCTGACCTCAAATATGGTGATCAAGTGGCCATTGTAATATAAATCAATAATACCCCAGCTACTTTTTCTAGTTTTATAGTGGAGAGAAAAAAAAAGCAAGGAACTGGAAAGTGAGAGACTGAATTTGCACTCATACGTAGAACAGGTGGAGGGGAGGGTGTGTGAAAAGAGAGAGAGAGAGAGAGAGAGAATGCACGCATGCGTGAGTTAACATAATAGAAGAAAGGTCAGAGCCTTCTCAGCCCAAGCTGTGCAGGAGTCCATGAATACAAGTTACTTCTATTAATAAATAGCAAAAATCAACAGTGAGGCCCCATATTTAGAGGTAAAAACCCCCTTTCCTGCTAGCATAACTATCAGGAACTGTTGTGTTTACCCAAACACTAAGAGGAGGTTACTTATCTGTAACTGGAGGTTCTTTGTGATATGTGGTCCCTATCTGTATTTCACTGTGGGGTTACGCATGTGAGTAGGTGGGAAGGTTCTTATTAGGCCTTTACAGAATCTGTTGATCAGTGGACGTGTGAAGACAGAGTAGCCGTGAGAATGTAGATGGTATGGGCTGATCGCCATGAAGTGGACTCGCAAGGAGCTGATAGACAAACCTGGTGTTTTCAGAAATAGGATATAGTCCAAGATGAGAGGAATATCTGTAATCTCTGGGAGAACACCTCCTTGTTGTGCCCAAAAAGAGAAGCACTTCCATTTAGCTAGGTAACATTTTCTAATAGAGTCCTTTCTACTATTAGAGAGAATGTCTCATACAACTTTGGAGCATGAATGTTCTAAGGATGATGCCCACCCAAATACCAAGCCCTGAGAAGTGGAGTGGATGTGGATCGGGGTGCCTGATCTTGCCATTCCACTGGGTCAGGAGCTTGGGGAACGTTAGAAGGATGATTAGTGTCGTGATGACATGCATAGGAGGTTAGGAAATCAGAAATGTCTGGCCAGAAGGGGGCAATCAGGATGAATCTTGCTTTGTCCTGCCAGATTTTGCACAATACTCATGTTGCACAGAACTCATATTGCAGGAGCAGTAGCGGAGGGAAGGCACAGTTGAACTGATAAGACCAAGTAAGAAGCAGAGTAACACCCTGAGAGTGGTGACCTAGTTCTCCTCTGGAGCAATATGTGGTGCATTTCCTGTTTGCTTGAGAAGCAAACGATCCCTTGTTGGGGTTCCCCATATATTAAAAATATTGTGCACTACTGAGTTAGGGAGCTCCCACTCTTGTTCAACTATTTAATGACCTTCTGAGGGAATCTGTAAGCACATTTTGCTTCATTGGAAGGTAGGTTGCAGATAGGTTGATTTGATTGCTGATACACCAATTCCAGAGACTGACTGCTTCTGCGCAGAGGAAGGGGAATCTTGCGCCTTCCCTGCTTGTTGATGTCAAAGATCGTTGTAATGTTATCTGACATTATAAGGACATGGTGAGCATGGAAGAAGGACCTGCATGCCTTCTGTACTTCTTGCAACTCCAGAATATTGATGTGCATCCTGGCCTCTCAAGACATCCAGGTTCCTTGTGCTGTGTGGCTGTTCATGGGAGCTCCCCAACCTAAGAGGGATGCATCCATAATAATGGTCCTGTTCAGAGAGGAAGGGAGAAAAAGGATACCCATACTCGATGAGAATTTGTCCAGCACAGCAGGGAAGACAGTATCTTGGCCGGAACTGTCACCATGAGGTTCATGGAATGATGGCTTGGGGAATTCAGGGGGCGGGGGGGTGGGGGAAACCTGGTCTGGGGAGCAGCCCTTGGGGTCTATACAGACTCGTTGGGATTTGCCCCTCAATGAACCGATATGTATGTGTGTGTGTGTGTGTGTGTGTGTGTGTGTGTGTGTGTGTGTGTGTGTGTGTGAGAGAGAGAGGAGAGAGAGAGAGAGAGAGAGAGGGAGCGGTGTTGTGTTTCGGGGGTGGCTGGGGGTGGTGGTGTTTCGGTGGCGCTGGGGGGGAGGGGTTCAGCCCTCAACTGTTTTCTTTGGAGTAATATGGCCCTCACCGCTTTAAAAGTTGTGCAGGCCTGGCTTAAAGTCATCGCTGGGAGTGGGGTGGGAGGAGAGGGAGGAAGGGACATAGAATTCACTTCGTCGTCTGGGGATGATGACGGCAATCTTGCTGGTTCCGGTGGAACTGTTGGATCTGGGGGCAGATCTGCGCGTCCCCTTGGAGGGGAGGCTTGGGTAACTCCCTGGCAAATTGAATCAACTCTGCAGAGGGGTACTGATCCCAAGGTCCCCAATATGGCCAGTAGGAAGGGTCGATAGGTGGTTATTGCATAAGGTACCAGCGGCTCCTAGTTAGATGAGGCAGAGGTTGGTCACAAACCTGTGTGGGTCTTTTGGGTGGTGAAGGATACGTAGGGTAAAAGAAGAATGGTTTATCAGATGGCTCAGAATCTCCTGATGAGGAGAAGGCTGATTCTGGTTCCAGTAGCGGTATCACTGATTCTGTTGGAGGGGAGATGTATTCTGTGTATAGGACGGGTGATAAGCTCCTTCCAGCAGTCAATTACCTTGGAGGTGATATTATCTCCTCGAAACGGAGGGAACTGATGGAGTAGGGGATTCCGGATCTGGGAGAGCAAAAAAGTCCTGTGAAGCAGCAACAGATTCAGATCTTCCAGTGTGACGGGTTCTGCTTGTCCAGGTGGTCAGAACCTATGAGGAGGGTGGTATCTGAAGTTGGCAGTTATCAGACTTCATCGGTGCTGACAAATCCCAGGGTTTAGAAGGAGCTGGGGACGACGGTACTGCCAGAAAACAGTCCAAACCGATGGAGCCCAATGCTTATGGGTGTTCTTGTCATGAGACTTAGTCTCTTTCTCGTCCCTGAGACTTAGTACATCCTAAGTCCTCATAGGCCGAGCTGGTAGGCTTGCTTACAGCTGAGTCCAACTTCTTTGACGTGGACTTTGAGGCAGACTTAGTTTCATACTCATGAGAAGCCTGTGGGGGTAGATTCTCCCATAACAGAGTTGGACTTGCAGCAGGAGGCGCATTCCTTGCTGAATCAGGCCAATGTACAAGGGATGTTCCCTGGCCTGGATCCAATTGGGGCCTCATGGCCTTCTCCATGAGGTATTTTCAGAGACGAAATTCCCACCTTTCTCAGGTGCAACTGGGGAACGATTGGCAGAAACTGCACCTCGCTGTGATGTGAGCTTTCCCAAGGTAGTACAGGCAGTGCCTGTGGTCGTCACTGACCAAGAAGGATCGTGGGCAAGAAGCACAAAGTTTGAAGCCCAGAGTCCTGGGCATAGTCCACTACTCGAATGTGGTACAGGGGAGGGAGGTGTCCCCCGGGAGACTAATCTAATGCTAAACAGTAAAACTATTAAAACTATTGAACTATTTACAAACTAGATAATTCTTATTTTGTAGAAAGAAGCCGAAACTGCGGACACTTAAGGTTCCGACCCAGACCACGTGGCGGTGAGAAGGAACTGGAGAGGCAGTCAGACCACCTTATTCTTTATCCCCTGAGTTGGAGGCACAAGGTGAGCCACGGTGCATATGTGGGCCAATGGACACTACTTTCAAACTCTCCAGCTCTGGGCACATGGTGAGCATGCGTAAACCCACAGTGGAATACAAATAGGGACCATCATTCAAAGAAGGTGGTGGGGTATTTACATCACACTAACAGTCACAGATTATAATTTTGGCTGGGAAATTAATTCCAACGATGCCTTTTAAAAATAAAATTAATGTAAGGTAGATTATAATAAGGTATTCCTATTCATTTTCTTAATTTTAGGTTAATCACTAATAACTATGTACTGCCTTTTATGGTTGTGTTCTTTTTGGTGAGCTTTTTGGTAAACCTAGTCTTTTGGATTCCCTGTTTGAAAAAAGAAGAAGAAAATAATGTCTTTTATTATTGCAAACTACTCAAAAAACATCAGAAAAACATTTCTACTAATAATATCATCTGAATACAACCACTGGTCTATGCTAGTGATATATTGGAATATCTAATGGCATCCAGTGATGTCAGTGTGACAGGTTCGGTCACACAGATCCCCTTGGGATTGTTACCTGATGTGGTGAGATTACCTCAGAGCCCGTTTTCCCTGCCAGCTTGGGACTCCAAAACCCTGCCTTGTTGAGCCAGACAAGCTAGCCTGCTGCAATACAGACCCAGAGTCCAGTCTACTCCCCCAAAGCTGCAGACTTAACTGAAAACAGCTCAGCAGGTTATTTGCCTCCAGCACCCAGACACCCTGCTCCCAGTGGGATCCAACCCCAAATAAATCCATTTTACTCTGTATAAAGCTTATACAGGGTAAACTCATAAATTGTCCACCCTCTATAACACTGATAGAGAGATATGCACAGCTGTTTGCTCCCCCAGATATTAACCACTTCCTCTGGGTTCATTAATAAACAAAAGTGATTTTATTAAGTATAAAAAGTAGTATTTAAGTGGCTTCAAGTAATAACAGACAGAACAAAGTAAGTCATAAAGCAAAATAAAACAAAACACGCAAGTCTAAGCCTAATGCATTAAAAAACTGATTAGAGGTAAATCTCACCCTCAGAGATGTTCCAATAAGCTTCTTTCACAGACTATCCTCCTTCCTAGTCTGGGCCCAATCCTTTCCCCTGGTACAGTCCTTGTTAGTTCCAGCAGACATCTCAGGTGGAACTAGGGGTTTTCTCATGACTGGCCGCCCCTTTGTCCTGCTCCACCCCATTTTATAGCTTTGGCACAAGGCAGGAATCTTTTGTCTCTCTGGTCCCCACCCCTTCTTCTAAATGGAAAAGTACCAGGTTTAAGATGGATTTCATCATCAGGTGACATGGTCACATGTCCTGTGAGATCCCAGCCTCCATTCTTCCTGGGCTGGCCCACAGGCACACAGGAAGGTTTGCAAGTAAACAGAGCTGTTTACAGTTCACTGATTCTGAAGCACCATTAATGGCTTCCATTTAATATGTTTACATCAGTAATACAAGTTTATATCTTATTCTCCTAACTTCAGACACAGAAATAATACATGCAAACAAATAGGACGAACACAGTAAGTAGATTATAAGCTTTGTAATGATACCTTATAAGAGACCTTTTGCATAAAGCATATGGAGTGCAACGTCACAGTCAGAATGTACTCAAATAATCAATTCAGGGTTTTGGCTCGTGGAACTTATATGAGAACCAGTTTTCTCACAGGATATCAAATTTAAAAATGTTAGGTATTGTATTTTCCTTATGAAATGTAGTTTGACATTTCTGAACTTCTTGTTATTCTTCTTTGAAGAAAACTACTTCAAATGTCTTTACACAATCTTTTATATTTATTACTTAGCATATCTGTGAACATTTATAATATTTCAAATATAATTTAAGTATCTGCATAAAAAAACTTAATAAAAACACATTCAAAGCAGCACTGAACTCCACATTTTAATTAAAAACCCACAGTAAGCTAAAAGGGTTGTAATATCCTTAGGATATATCCTATAACTGGGCCCAGGGCCCTCTTTTATTCCATGTTTGTACAGTGTGTAGCACAATATGGCTTTGGGCCTCAGATGCTACTGTAATACAAATAATAATAAAAACAGTGACAACCCCCCACCATTGGTACTCACTCATTGTGATGAGAATCTTGGGACAAGTGAACCATTTTCTTGTTGCCTGGGCTTGCACTGGTAATCTAAGAGGGGGAAAAAATAAAATAAAATAAAAATGCTACGAGTTCTTGGGCTGTATTACATGTACTTTGTATTTTTCCATTGGAAGAGTATATACTACCTACCATGGTAGAAACAGACACACTAAACACTGTAAAAAGAATTAGTGATACTTTCAGTTGATAACTCAAGTAGTATTTTCATAAGTATGTAAATGATTTAGGAGTCTAATCCCAGTTTTTAAAGGTAATTGAGAAGTTTAGCAGCCTTATGGCCAGATTTTCAAATGTGTCTACATGTCTAATGATGCAAATAGGTGCCTGGTGGGATGTTAATAGAGATTAGGTGCCTAATCTCTTAGATGCTTTTGAAAATTTCAAAAGATGCCTATTTGCATCTTTAGGGGTCTAAATGCCTTTGACAATGGGATTTAGGTGCTTTTGAAAAACCCACCCAGAATGTATTGTGTTTTTAAGAAATGTAGAAAAACACAAAGTTGTGACGCTAGGCTGGGATTTTAAAATGGCTCTTACTGCTTAGACTACTTTGAAAACCCAGGTCTTAGTCTGCAACCCAGAGCAAATGCTAATGAAAATAAAAGTTAAGTAAAATGTACATATAAAATGGTATATCACTACATTGATGTCATATTCAGTTGTTCCTTCTTTAATCTCAACTGCAATCAAAAAGAAATATGAGGATTTTTAAGACTAGTTATGTATTTACCTTATATACTCCCCTCATACGGCACAAATAGGCTTTGAAAAGGGTGTGTATATGGAAAATATGGCTTAGTGGCGTTATGCAATACTACAGCAGAGCAGCCTCCTGCTCTTCTGCAGCACAATTTGCTTGTTATAGCTGCTATGCATACATACAGGAAGTGGAGTTAGGGGGTGTTAGGAATCACCTGCTGAAGTTGCACACATGCAGAAAGTAAGTGCGAAAGTTACTGCTGTTTGGAGCAACAAGTCCTCTTACAATTACATACATTAAAGTCTCCAGCGGATAAAGTCTTACAATCACTAGATGACCAAAGTCAGGACAACAAAAATCAGCTATGCTGCCAGTACTGAAAGCAGACCTGGAAACCACACAAATAAACAGCTGATATGCACATATTGTCTGGGACCATTGGGGTTTGGGTTGTTTTTTACCTATGGATCCTCTGTTTATCCACATTTGACAGTTCATCACTCATCAGGAGGATGATATATTGCATTTTCAAAGACAACAAATCACTGAATATTTTATAAAAGCAAGTTTCCTCTACTTTTACACATTTTTATGCAGAAGAAGAACCAAAGCATCTTAAGGGTCAAGTCTGGAAAATGTTCATATAATACCACAGATGCCTTTAGAAAGCTCCACAGATTCAAAATATTTGCCAAGTTCCACAGAAATTCCCTATCTGTAAACTTGGAAATGTCATTATAATGGGTAGAATCTCTCAAACAAATAGAACTTGAAAAGGACACCTGTTTTACTGGTCAGTAATTACTCAAATGCAACCACACCTAAAACTCTGACAGCAGCAGACGTAGCAACATTATAACTTGCTGCCTCAAAGAAATCTTGCCTGCAACCAGCATATAGAATAGGCAGTTCCAGACACCAATATTTGATATTAATTTAGTCAGATTTAATGGAGTGAAAGCAGTCTTGCTTATTCGCTTAGTAACAATGAAATTGCAATCAATGCTTTCAAACAAACTTCCCCTCTGTTACATTTTACCTTATAATTTGAGCAAGACACATTATTTGTCAAATATGGACTTTGAAATGCTGATGATCTAAAACATTTTAAATGTATATGTAATCGGGAAGTTACAACATTAGTAACCGAACTGTTACTTGCACACCATCGGTAAACATGTGGCTCAGCTCTAGAGAGTTACATCCTGCATTAATCTCAAAATGAGGTTTTCATGCTATTCCAGTGGGTATCCCTGGAATATAGTAATCCATTTTCTACACTGTGGGTATAAGAAAAGCCGACTGTGCCTATGTCATGCTTTGTTAGAGGTTCATGATCACATTATCTCATGGTGGACCTGACACTTTTATTCAGTTTACAGTATGTTCTGTGTACAGGCAACTTATTTCCTTTGCCAGGGTTGCTGACAACCTTTTCCACACTATATTAATCTTGTTTACTGACTTTATCTTGGTACAAATATCAGAAAACTGAACTTTTTATCTCAGGGAGAAAATAAACAACATGTTGACAGAAGCAGAAGCTATTTTCTGGACTAAAATTGGTTGTTTACCTGCAGCCATACTTATGGAAAAATGTTTAACTCTCCAACTCGCTTGAAATACATAATCCAAAATTTAATAAGCGTGAAAATTTCAAGAAAATCCATGTGATAAATTGTCAGGTATAAAACAGTATCTTAACATAAAGAAATATGATTTGTAACTAATTTATACTGAATATAAAAGTGCTCTCAATCTAGTTACAATTCATCAGAAAGTATATTGATCAGGTTTCTCCTACATATCAAAGGTAACTTCAGTTACTAAATAGCCACAGAGGATTTATAAAATTAAATGTACAATACACACACTTATATGTCCTGGTTGTTTCGTTGTAACGTTGCTCATCTATAAGGGAACAAGCTCGTTTAAAGTTGCGCAATGCTCCCTTATAACATCGTTTGGCAGCTGCCTGCTTTGTCCACTGCTTCCAGGATTCTCTGGAAGAGCAGCCCCTCCTTGTGGTGATTAGAACCAGGGAGGCTGCAGCCCCCCCTCCCCAAAATTCCCTGTAAGGTATGTGGCTCGTCAGCTGCCCAGAACCATTCAACTGTTCCTCCCCACACTGTCGTGCTGCTCCTGCACTGCCTCTGCCTTGGAGCTGCTCCCGGGAGCTTCCTGCTTGCAGGGGAGATGGAGAGAGGGGTGCTGATATCAGGATGTCCCCCTGCCCCCCCCCACTCTGTAACTCCTCTCCACAAAGCAGAGGAGGGGGAACAGGGCTCAGGGACAGAACGGAGGGAGCTTGCTGGAAGCTGTTGCTTCCTGTCTGAACTGGCTGATCTGCTTAAAAGGGCAACATACTTGAAGTGCGGTCAGCATACTTAAAGGGGCAATGCATCTCTCTCTCTCTCTCTCACTCATGCACGCCACCCCCCCCCACCCCCCAGCACTTTGGAAAGCCAGCACCTGTGCAGCCGTGCATGTGCTGTCAGGAGGAGGTAGTGGTGCGCTCCAGCTGGATAGCGTGGGCTCATCATCATGTTCAGTTTTTGCAGGGAAGTGTTTGAGCTACTGCCCTGCATCTATTGTGTTTCCTCCCTCCTGCGTCAGTCCATGCTGCCTTGTCGAGTGTTTGGCTACATTAACAACAGTGTATTAACCCTTGAGGGCTCAGCCGAGTGCTAGTTCATCATTTAGCAGCAAGGCATTCCCTGGAAAATATTCCACCCTCTGACTCCTCCACCTCAACCAAGCTTCACAATCATTCATTGCTGTGTACAATATTAAACTGTTTGTTTAAAACTGTTTAAAACTTATACTGTATAAGTATATAACGTCTTTTGTCTGGCAAAAAACATTTCCCTGGAACCTAACCCCCCCGTTTACATTAATTTTTATGGGGAAATTGGATTAGTTTAACATTTCGCATAAAGTCACATTTTTCAGGAACATAACTACAATTTTAATTGAGGAGTTACTGTATGCTTTGGTGACCAAGAGTTTCAAATTTGACATGATTTTGAGCGCCACAGTTTGAGAGAGCTCAACTTGGGGTACCTTAAAATCTGATTTTCAGAGAATGATGAGCACCATTCTGGAAAATCAGACTTTTTAAAGGTGCTTGAAGTTGGGCACCAACAAATGAACGCACCCTAATTTCAGTACTGTATTTTAGATGCAACACTCTTAGTTGCACTAGACTGGATTATATAGAGAGATTGCAGAGTTATCGTTATAGCTCCAAAATAATTGCATAGATATACACTACTATTTGATAGGGTGCAGGACTGTGAATCAGAAGACCTGGTTCTATTCCCAGGCCTGTCACTAATTAGGTATATAACCCTGGACAAGTCTTATCTTTACAATAAGCATAATGTTACTTCACCACCATTATAAAGCGTTTTAAGACTTATGGATAAAAAGCACTATGTTATAGGAAGTGCTGGAGGCAGGGCCAATAGTTAAGGTTGCTTAACACTTTCATTTCCAACTGTTTTCAGTTGCTTATAACTTTGTCAAACCATTATGCTGAAATTTTCCATACTGGGTATCTGCCTCAGACTTTTTTCTTTTTAATTTTCAACAGTGCAGCTATTTCCAAAAATAAGGTTAAGGAAAAATATATTGCTCTGCCAATGATGAAAATAGGCCTGTATATTTGGATCACAGAATTGTCTTTTGCTGTCTCCATGCAAACAAATATGGCAGTGTTTTAAAATCACTGTTTGCACATACTCAGTAAAAGTTTGTTAGAGGCTGTTCATTACATTTCCTGACGATTCTATCTACACTGAGCACACTCCAGTTCAAAGCTGAGCACAACTTTCCCAGCAATTCCTCCTCCTAGTTGCCAGGGGCTGCTCTGTCACTGGGCACAGGAATAGAGCCAGGAGAATGTCTCTGCTGTGCTCTCAATACTCTCCCTATTGGCACTCAGGCAGACTGCAAGAGGAGGAGACAGCTGCTTAATTTGAATGTAATGAGGGAAGGAATGGGGGAGAAAAGGGATAGGCAGTTAAGTGGGACAGAAGTTTCTTTGAGAAGGGATGGGGAGGGGAAAGGAATGAAGGGGACAGGGACAGGCTGTGGGATAGCAGCAATGAACAAGAGGGACAGAGAAAGGTCTGGGGGAGGGCGGGAGGGAGTCCTGAAACTACTAGAGTTCACTCCCCTCCAGAATCTAGAATTGAACCAAAGATTCTTGAGTCCTACCACTCTTCTGCTGTTTAACTGTGAAACCCATTGGGCAAAGTATGTGTTGGTCCACACAGAGAATAACTACCTACTACCTCTACCAATTACTCCATCAACTCATGTG